TAGCCTCTTTTGTGGTGATTTCTGCATCTTTGTGAGGTAGTTTTGCACTTTTTTGAGGTGATTTTGCTTGTTTTTGTACTTACACTAATATTGTGAGGACAGACTCAGCAGAGCCGCTGCACGTATTCGTACGATGTCAGAAAGTATATCAGCTGGTGATGCAGAACGGGGATTATAAAGAAATAAAATGGACAAGTTAGCTGTTGTTTCCAAAACCTGGACATTCACACACAGGATATTAATACACAAAACTATTAAAAACCAGAATATTAAAGCAGTTAAGTGTCAAAACCTGAATATTGATCTACTAAAGTCTCCAAATAAGGATATTAATGCAAGAAACTGTCAATAATCTGGATGTTAATGCACAAAACTGATAATAATGAGGGTGTAACTGCACAAAATTGTCAAAAATCGGATATAAACACAACAAATTGTCACGTATCTGGATCAAGCCTTTGGATAGTAACGTGCAAAATGATCAACAATCTGGGTGACAACAAAAATATTGGCTTCATTGATGGAGAGCTTTTCCCCTGATGAAAGAAACACCAGTGATGAGCATTTGGTGCATGTTGACCGACCAGCTGGTGTCTGGCCTTGGTGCCTCCTGCTGCCTCCAGGTTTCATCGTGTGAAGCGACTCTCTGTGGAGGAACACGAGTGGGTTTGCTTTAGTGGAAAGTTACTGAAGAGCAGCAGCGTTGGATGATGATGTGCTGAATGCTGGAGCTGCTCTTGTTGTTGCCCGTTCATCATCATCATCATCATCGTCTTCGTCCCTGCAGGTCTTTGCACATGTTATTTAGCGCCAGCTCTGTTTTTTCCCTCCGCCTGGGAAGCTCTTTGAAGGTTTTCGTAAACTCCCGAGCCACTGACTCATCCTCCAGGATCTGGCAGGCGAATGTGTGTCAGCAGCGTCGTTTCAGCTGCCTGCGAGCTCAGACGAGGTCTTTGGGTTCGTGTCCCTGCCATTGTCCCGCTGAGATAAGGAATCCAAACAGAAACCAAGGGATACGGTAAACATCTCCCCTTTTCCGACAATGAGCACGCCCTGATGTCTGCCCGGCCTCGTGATCCGCAGCGAGTCAAGGTGGGGAAAAAAGGGCTCTGAATGCCGGCTTTTGTCTCAGCGAGGCATTTCTTCGTCGTGAGATCAGTCCGGCACCGATTCTGAGAAGGTGCAGCTCGAGCACGAGTGGAGGAGGAAATGTAATCGCCCGTCATTAACCAGTCTGGTAAACAGAGGAATTCAGGGGACAGACTCCTCACCCAAAGCCCTTCTGTCCATCAGCTGTGAAACACATCCATTATGTATCACAAACTAAACCTGCAGCGAACATTTCTTATATTGTCTTTGTTGTTTGGTCTCTGAAACGTCAGAAAATGGTGACGATTTGAACCGTCTGAACCCCGGCACATTTGAAAGGCACATTTTCTTAAACAAATCTGCAAAATGACGCCGATTTATCAGCCAGAAACTCAACAAAGCAGATTTAAAACGTTCTTGAACACATCATTGGTAATGTACAGTTTCATCTAGAAAACTAGCGCTTTATTCTACATTTAAAAATCCACAAAAAATTCAGCGTTTGCTCCGATCGGATTCTGTAGACGACCAAAAATTCTGCTTTTCTCGACTCAACTGAGAAGCCACGAGTGACTCGGCTGTGATCGACGGTCACGTGAAAAATATTCAGAGAGACGGAGAGGAAAATCCAACCTACTGGATCAATACAGAAATGCAGCACGGATCAGAACCAGAGACCAGAGGAGCCAGTTGGTGGAGATACATTCAGCTGATGGTGGAACATCTTTCTACATTTCTGTTGGATGACTAATCAGAGGAACTCGGCCTCCACTCAGGTGCAGGACTTCTTATCTCAGTGAACAATGTGACAACCAGTCGCAGCTCTTTTGTTCAGGCGTAAAGTTTTGTTCTTCTGGTCTTGTCTTCACTTGCTGCCTTGAACCACGCAGGTTTCTCACTCGGACAGACTCGTGTAGATGCATGTCACTGAGTCCGCGCCAGTTTAAACAACTGCAGATAAAATAAACTATCAGCGACTGAAGTCCACGTTAACACACTCCGGATGTGAACTGTGGCCCAGTGAGGGTTTGGTCCCAACAAAGCAGCTTAATCCTCGTCATTCACGTTTGAAACAGCAAAACGTTTCGTCAGTGCGTGAAATAAAGACGTTGTTTTGGTGGGAGAGTTTCGCATTTTGTTAATTTAAGCAGTTAAATAAACTGAACAGCATTTATCACGTAGCAGCCTTGTTGTCTGATCGAACTCCTCCACGGCTGTGATTGGTAAAGCTGCTGCCACCATTCATTGATTATAAACTGCTGAATTAATCATCAACTGTTTTCACGATCAATGCTGGAGGTTCCTTTCTGGTTTCTTTCCTCCTCGATGACAGCAAACTGAGTGTATTTGGACAAAGCGGAACATTTGTGGAAACACAAATCCACATTTTTCTGCATTTTTACACCAAACAGTTAATCAGGAAATAATCAGCACGTTAATCCACATTGAAAATAATCAGAACGTAGCAGCTGATGCATCTAAAACTTTTGATTTTAAGCGTTTTAACATCCCTCAGCTGCACATGAACAAGAATAAGAGCACGGAAATGAAATGGTGCGACTTGTGAGGTGCTAATTTTGATCTAATCGGATGTAAATGTGAACGTTTTGGACTGCCCTGGTTTTGGTTTCCTCTGGTTTACCCTCAGACTTGTGACTCGTTCTGCGTCTGGTTTTCCTGATAGAAATGAGCTCATGTTTGTGAGGCGGTCGGTTCCTAAAAAGCTCCCAAAAAGCGTCCTTTTATTTCTGAACGTTTGGCGTTTTTAGAGCCTGAAAGCTGCGGCGTTTTTCTCTGCAGGTGTCGTCCTCGTTTGTCGCTTTTCTCTGGTTTTGGTTTCATTTCGACGCAGCACACGCGTCCCGCTCTGGAGTCGCAGTAATTATCTCCTGCGCTGGAGCCTGGGTGGTCGGGGAGAAGTCGAGCAGAGCGCATAAAGCTGCCGTCATGTTTAAAAACTGCCTTTCATTTTGACAAACTGCATGAGTAGCCGACGGAATGGCCTGTGGTCGTGTTGTGTGTTCTGTGTCTGCGCCGTTTATTCTGGACTGAAGGTTGTTTTTCTCCCGGAGACAGAAACGCCTCTCCGCGTTGTTGTCGTGTTTAGAGGAATACGTCATGCACTGTTATTTATTTCATACTGAAAAGAACAAACAGATTTCTTCATCTTCAGAGTGCTGCAGTTAGCGTTTAGCTTCTGAAGCTAGGTTCATTCCATCAGCCCTCACTGGTCAGGAATTAAACTTTCATGTTGTCTGGTGCAACCTGCCTGGAGTTTAAAATTTACATGATGGGACACGACATGACCGGAAACAGTAGGAGTGGGTACAGAGACGTGCAAAACAATAAAGATTTGGAAAGAAATGCAACCAAACTGAGACAAAAACAACCAGAAATAGATGCAAAACGACCTCAGACACACTCAGAATTAATAACATGGGACATAAAAAGGCTAAAATGGAGCAAAAAATCAACCACAACGAGAAGAAATGGCAGCAAAGACACACAAAATTATTATAATCAAATACTAAATGTGAAAGAAATGACCAAAATGGAGCCAAAGCAACCATAGAGAGACTCAAAATTAAAAATATAAGACCCAAAATTACCAAAATGTAACCCAAAAACAACTACAAAGATGCATAATGGCAGCAAAGACATGAAAAATTGCTAAAATCAGAGAGTAAATGTTCTATATATTACAGAAGAGGACCACAATGGAGCCAAAACAACCATAAAGAGATGAAATAGCGAGCAGGAGATGCAAACTAACTAAAATCAAGACACAAAATATCCTAAATGTGACTCAAAACAACCAAAATGGAGCAAAAACAACCATGAATAGGTGCAAAATGATCAAAATGGAACCAAGAAACGACCACAAGGAGACAAAGAGGCAGCAAAGAGATGCAAAATGATGAAAATAGGACTTATAATGTGTCGACAAACAACCAAACTGGGACAAAAACAGCCTCAGACAGATGCAACACGACCACTGACAGACTAAAAGCTAGCATCAGATGCTCGTTCTCTGTAACTGGGCCGACACCACAGACGTCACCTGTCCTCGTTCTTTATGTAAAACCAGCATGTGTTTGTCATTCTGGTTTCCTGCGGTTCAGTATTGACCCTCTGGTTGTCTAGGAACCAGAGCTTCCCGGTTCGCTGTGTTGGACCGGTAACTTTCCACTCGTCCCCAGTTCCTCATGAAGGCTTCTTCATCACTTTTTTTCCTGCAAAGCCGAAACATAAACATCCAGTTTGTCTAAACTAAACGAGGATCAGTGTCAGAGCTTTTGTTTTAACATGATGACTGTTGTGCAATCGACGCCCACGGCTCTGACGAATCCGACTTGCATCCCTGGCAGCTGATCCTCTGCTGACTCACCTGAGCACGAGAACCATCTGAACTGAGGCTGAATGTGGGTCATGTGTGACTGGTTTGTGTCATCCTGCAGCCTGCAACACGTCGCTGACCACGTTCCTGTTTCTGTTTTCGTCCCCCTTTAGGAAGAAGATCTCCGACGGCCATGAAGTTGTCAAGTCGAACCCGTCGAAGCGCCACCGGGATCGGCTGAACGGGGAGCTGGACCGGCTCATGGACCTGCTGCCCTTCAACGAGGACGTCCGGTCCCGTCTGGACAAGCTGTCGGTGCTTCGCCTCAGCGTCGGATACCTGAGAGTCAAGAGCTTCTTCAAAGGTGAGGACGCCGGGATCTCCTCAAACTCAGTGATGAGCCCGTCCACTGCTGCCACATCCTCACTGTCCTCTCTGACACCAGAAAACCAGTAAACAATAAAACTGAATTAAATGGACTCCTTTGGTTCTGATGTAGCAGCTCCATCTGTGGCCCCGCCCACACCTCCCTCTGATTGGCTGTCACGAGTGCCAGTCAGTCACAACCGTTGTTTACACAGAGAGACAGAGAACGCATTTGCTCTCTGTGTTTACGATTGGTGCAGCTGGAACTAACTTTTCTGACAGTGCTAGGCTACGGCTATTGCTAACAGGTTAGCTGTGCCTCTTAGCTTGTGGCTAATGCTATCTGGGGGAACTGTATCATCTTTGTAAAGTCAGATTAACATCCTGTTCTAACCACACAATCTGCATAAACTGAACAAGAGCACAGAGACCTCCACTAATCAGGACAGCTAAGGCTATGCTAACAGCTAGCGGCTAAATAAGGGGGCATTTAGCCACTAGAAAACTATTAAATAATAACTGGATGATACATTTTTTTATGTAACTTCATTATTTTGATTGACCAATTATCACAAAATAAATTAAATGCACTCCTTTCTCTGATGTAGCAGCTATCTCCGTGGCCCCGCCCACAGCTCGATCTGATTGGCTGTCACGAGTACCAGTCAGTCACAACCATTGTTTACACAGAGAGACAGAGAACGCATTTGCTCTCTGTGTTTACGATTGGTGCAGCTGGAACTAACTTTTCTGACAGTAGGCTACGGCTATCGCTAAGAGGTTAGCTGTGCCTATTAGCTTGTAGCTAATGCTATCTGGGGGAACTGTAGCATCTTTGTAAAGTCAGATCAACACTCTGTTCTAACCAAACAACCTGCATAAACTGAACAAGAGCACAGAGACCTCCACTAATCAGGACAGCTAAGGCTATGCTAACAGCTAGCGGCTAAATGAGGAGGCATTTATTTTCGTAGGATTGTTGTGAAACATGAGCACACACTAACTGGTGTCATTTTGAAGAAGTCGTCGGTGTGGCTGCGTTTTGTTCAAAATGATGGACAAGAGGTGGAGTGGATTGAACAAAACTGGATTTAAAAAAAAAACATAAATAGACGTGAAATGATCACAAAGAGACGAAATAATTCACAATATGAGACACAAACCGGCACAAAGTCCGCCACACAACGACCAAAATAAACCAAGACAAGAATGACCTAGTTATGGCCTCTCTGAGTTAACCGGAGAGCGAAGGTGTTGATAAATGATTAAAAACTAATAAACAAGGTCAGGATTATTATTATCTATTTACTAACGAGTTAAAGAATGAAATTAAAGTCCAGCTCTTTGTGAGTCGGCTTTATGAATCGGGTGAAGTGTGATGAACGAGCAGCGCTCTGACAGCAGGAATGAGAAGCACGAAGGAATCTGGTTTTCGGAAGCGACACATCCTCATAGCGCCGCTCCGCCCTTCAGCCATGAAGTCTGAAGGCGCCTCTGAGCGTTTTCTGTAAGCCGACTGGGAACCTGACGAGTCATGTGTGATTAAAGGTGAGCTGCTGGCAGACGATCTGCTGAGTCAAGCCGCTTCGCGTTCACCGCCACCGCCGCCGCCGCCGTCTCCACTTCCACAGGCAGCAGCGTGCACGAGGAGCGTTTAATTAACCTGTAACAGGTTTAGACGGCGTGGAGCTGAGTCAGTATAAACGTTCTGTAAACGTTCTGTAAACTACGCTGCTGTCAGTGTGTCTGCTTCTGCTGGTTTCACGTCTGCTTTGTGTCTCATAGTGTGAATTTTGTGTTTCTTTGTGCATCTTTTTAGGGTCGTTTTGTCTGAACTTGATCATTTTGTGTCTCATAATGTTAACTTTGAGCATCTTTGTGGTCATTCTGCATGTTTTTTATGGTTGTTTTGCTCAATTTAGGTCATTTTTGGTCTCATTTAGTGTCTGATTTGAGCTATTTTGCATCCCTTTTATGCCATTTCTTCACTTTTTATTTCCATTTTGGCCATTTTTATGTCTTATATTGTTAATTTTGAGTCTCTTTGTGGTAATTCTGCATCTTTTTATGGTTGTTTTACTCAATTTTGCTCATTTCGTGTCACATTTCGGACATTTACTGTCTGATTTTAGCCATTTTGCATCCCCTTCCAGCCATTTTGTCTCTTTGTGGTTGACGTTTAGTTCCATTTTGGCCGTTTTTGAGTCTTATATTGTTAATTTGAGTGTCTTTGTGGCCGTTTAGCATCTTTTTATGGTCCTTTTACTCAATTTTGGTCATTTTTGGTCTCATTCGGTGTCTGATTTTAGGCATTTTTCATCCCTTTTCTGCCATTTTGTCTCTGTGGTTGACCTTTTAGTTCCATTTTGGCCGTTTTTGTCTTATGTTAATTTTGTGTTTCTTTGTAGTCATTTTTTGTCCCATATTGGCTGCTTTGTGTCTCGTACCGCTAACTTTGTGTTGTTGTTTTCGTGGCACCGTATCAGGATTAGACATCTCTGCAGCCTGGGTTTTCCTTTTTCATTCACCTAGCCGGGCTCCTGCTGTGATGTTAGCGTCGTGCTGGAAACGATGATTGCAGTGAGAGGAAAACCTTTAACAGACGTGAAGGCTGTGCAGCTGCAGACGGTGATTTCCTTATCGCCTCATCGGGCCGAGTGCAGCGCGAACACGCCGGATGAATGGACGTGTTGCATGCAGCCACAGGAGTTGTGACATTCCAGCGCTGCCTCGTCTCACAGCCTTTCGCCTACTTCACCGCCCTGCCGCTGTTTAAACCGCGTTTACGGTTTAATATACGGAGATAAACTTCCCTCCAGCTTCCATCACCAACTGTAAACTCGATATAAATATGTGGAGTCACTGTTATTTGTCAAACGCATCTGACGCGCCAAGTTTATAAAATAATTTCAGAACGGAAAAAATGAGAAGTTCATCGACTCTCAGATGCTAAAAAAGAGACGGTTTTCTCACCAGCACACACAAGGAGCTTGTTTTAACCGAACCAGACGGCTTAAACGGGAAATATTTGGCTGAATTCAATGCAGCGACACCAAACTAGTGGTTGTTTTGCATCTCATGTTGTTGAGTTTGTGTCTTTTTGTGGGCATTTTGTCGATTTATGGTCATTTTTGGCTCCATTTTGTGTCTCATATCGTGATTTTGTGTCTCTTTGTGTGTGGTCATTTTGCATCTCTTTATGGTTGTTTTTTGCTCCATTTTGGTCCTTTTTGTGTCTGATTTTGGTAATTTTGCGTCTCTTTGTGAACATTTTGTCCATTGATGGTGTTTTTTGTGCCATCTTGTGTCTCATGTCGTGATTTTGTGTCTCTTTGTGGTCATTTTGCATCTCTTTGTGTTGTTTTTTGCTCCATTTTGGTCCTTGTGTGTCTGATTTTGGTCCTTTTTTATCCCAGTTGGTCATTTTGTGCCACATCTAGATAGTTTCTGTTTTTGGGGCTTTTGTTTGTCAAGTTTACTTTTTGTCCATCAGTTTGATCAAAGATGAACCTAAACTCGACTGAAACCTGCTGTTCGTTGTTTCTGCTGCGACCTTAAAGATTCTGCACCAACAACGGGATGAACAACGAGCAGAGAAACAACAAGAGGAGGAGGAATATTATTCTCTCTTTTTATGCTCCTGAAAGATTTTCTAATCATCTTCTACTAGTGTGTAAATAATTAATCTGCCATCAGCTGCAGAAAAGGTCTTTTCAGTTCTCTCTTGTCATCTACATCAACAGTTTAAAACACATAATTATCATATATAATCTAGAATAACAGGAATAATAATTACAACCCAACCAACACGGTCACAGAACAAAACAAAAAACACTGAATGTTACGTAAAAAAGTGGAAAAAATGCCAAATGAAACACAGGAAAGGTCAAACCAAATGAGCTGAAACCATTTCTGCTGCTGATAAACAGTGTTGTAGGTGCTGATTTCTGACAGCCTCCGACCCGGTGTGCTGAGTTTAAAGCCTTCACTGGACATCAGGGCTGATTTCAGACCAAACTAAACGCTCAGAACCTCGCCGCTGTGATCCGATATCGTCTCATACGAACGTCCGACACCTTCCTGTCAGGACCGGATCCGTTTCCAAGCAGCTGCTGTGGTTTATATATTATTATTATAAATAACACTGGTGTGTTCAGGGCAGCGCCGGCGGGCTGCGGCTATAAAAAGCTTCTGTCAACGTGTTTGCTGAGGTGTGAACCTGCGCTGGATGTGTTTCTGTCGGCCGGATGTCGAGGGCTGATCTCCGGTTTGCTCTGTGGACGCAACTCACTGCAAAACCGTCAAATCACACACAGTTACATGACGTAGCTGCCGGCTCGCTTTCTCTCTCTGTTGCTTTGGCCTTTTAGTCGTTTTCTGCTACAAGTCTGGGTTTTCAGTGACCTCCAGGATCACAGACCTCTGATCAGAACATCCACTTCCTGTTCGCGTGCACGTCCATCGTAACGGGATTAAAGGTTCGTTTGCTTTAGTGTTGCTAAATTCACAAAGTTAGGAGGCAATTAACCGACTAATCTGGACTCTTGAGACCTGCTGGTGGGTTTAAAATGCCTGTTAGCTTTAAAATAAATCACTAGAATGGCACAGAAACTGTAAAAAAACCTACTTTCTGATCGTCCTCGAACTACACATCTGCTGTTTGATCACAGCAATGATCCAAATCTGAGCTTAAAGTCATCAAAATCACTTTATTCTACGTGTCTAGTTTAAAAATTCTCCCAAAATAACATTTGCAGTAACTGCAGTCTGTAAAAATCCCAAACGTTCTGCCCTCTTTAGTCGTTTGTTCAGGAGACGTAATCAGACCTGTTTAAAATCCTGATATTTTAGCCATAAGAAAAAAAAATTCTAAAAAACAAACCCTTTACTTGAACCAGAGTCTGTAAAAAACAAAAAATTCTGAGCTTCTTGATGAAACCGTGAAGCCATCAATGGATCAGCTGTGACCAACAGTCACAAGGCAAAAATTCAGAGAGT